ATCGTAATAAATACCAGAAACATCGTGATATATTTTAAATCCCATATCGCCCATCCCTAAAAGGTGAAGTCACATTTACTGTTAATCTGTGAAATTTTGTGAGCAAAATCCAGTAATTTTAATATGAATTCAGACGTTCGGGAGTTTCGTGCGATGTTCGCCCGTCTTCAAGTTGGTCATGCGCTGATGTGAGCTCTGTGTGAGCTCATTTTTATACATTTCAACTAGTGCTGTCAAACAATTAATCGCAATTAATCGCATCCAAAATAAAAGTTTTTGTTTACATAATATATGTGTGTGTACTGTGTATATTTATTATGTCTATATAAATACACACACATACATGTATATATTGAAGAAAAATATGCTATGTTTATATATTAAATGTATTTATCTGTAATATAAATAATATAAATATATACATATGTGTGTATGTAGGCTATATATACATAATAAATATACAGAGCACACACACATATATTATGTAAACAAAAAATTTCATTTTGGATGTGATTAATTGCGATTAATCATTTGACAGCATTAATTTCAACACAATGGATGATGTGCCTTTTTGCATGCAAAATGTCACTAATGTGACTACACCTTTAGACTTGGGTTAAAATGAAATTTAGAAAGATCCAAAACGGTCATAAAGGCATTGTAAAACAAATCCATACGAAATGAGAAATTTTATCCATGTCCTATAAAGAAATATGAGCACTAAGGTGCATCAAAAAATCAAATGCAAGATTTTCACTTAGGCCCTAGCATAAAGTCATTCTACTCAAGTCAGACAGCAAATGTGAAAAATATATTAAAAACCTTTTTTGTTGTTGGATCCTTATTTGTGCTCTGCATTTAACCCATCCTAGTGCACACACACAGCAGTGAGTAGTGAACCTACACCTTGGAGCAAGAGGGGGTTTGGTGCCTTGCCCAAGGACACCTCAGTTGTGGGTAATGAAGGTGAAAGGGAGCGCTGTTCATTCAATCCCTCCACCTACAAGTCCTGCCATGCTGAAAATCAAACCCGCAACCTTTGGGTTACAAGTCTGACTCTCTAACCATTAGGCCACAAGAGGGAGGGATGGAGGGCCAGGGTCATGAGGTTTGTGGAAGTAGTTGACCCAGTAAATATACAATTAAAAATATGAAATTTGGCTACAATGTTTATTACTTGTAATGGCAAGCATCAGATATAAGGTCGAAACAACTTTTCGAAATTTTGGATTTTTGGATGCACCCTAATGAGCACTGTATATGATGAACATTTAATTTATACTTTTTTTTTTTTTTACAAAAACACCTTTTTTGGTTTTTCAAAGTTTTGGTTACCTGGACTTAAATTTGGGTGATTGGGTAACTGAAGTTTTTATGCTGTGCAAGATGTTCACATGTGGTAAAAAAGTCGTAGCAACGTTTTTCAGCTATTAACAGTCCCTCAGTATTTCAGACCTGATATGTCAGACTCAATATTTTGGAAAAAATTGAAAATGTATTATTTTTGTTGTTTCAGATACTTTCAGTAGCTAAAATTTTGGTCCGTCACTAGTTTCCAAATTACAGAACAAATCTAATTAAACAACTAAGTCACAAGCAAGTTCAAATCAGTTTCTTAAATCTTTTTGGTTGGCCATTAGAGAGAAGAATTATTGAGTTAAGGCGATATTTTTGTTTTCAAAAAGTATTCGCAAAAAAAGTATTCTTGTAGCTTCATAAAATTAAGGTTGAACCACTGATGTCACATGAACTATTTTATTGATGTCCTTACTACCTTTCAGGGCCTTGAACGTGGTAGTTGCATTGCTGTCTATGCAGGGTCAGAAATCTTTTGCATTTCATCAAAAATATCTTAATTTGTGTTCTGAAGATGAACGAAAGTCTTACAGGGTTTAGAACGACATGAGGGTGAGTAATTAATGACAGAAATGTCATTTTTGGGTGAACTATCCCTTTAAAAACAACCAATTCGGAGTCATTTGTTCACAAATCCTGAACAACTAGGCCTAGAATTTGAATTGAATTATTTTTTCTTTTTTTCATTTTGTGTCACATTTGTGACCATTTTACACCAAGCCCTGCTCTAGTAGCACAGTATTTCAGATATCGGAGCTATCTAATACAGCATAAGACTCTGGGGCAAGAATAACTGGAAACTACCACAACAAACGTACATATCACAAACTTTTATAAACCATTTAAAAGCACCAATAACACTTCATCCAGCTGCCGTGCTCATATTATAAAGCAGCATTCACTCATGTGGCGCTGCGAGTAAATAGGTTGAGCGTAGCTCTGTGGAGAGGGGCATATGCCCATGTGGCGATGCTATCATGCACACTGATACGACGGTAGGAAACAAACTTGCCTCGGCTATGACTGAATTACACAAAAAGAGGCTTGTATCAGCACTATGCTGCTGAGTTGACATACCCACTGCCGAGAAGCTGAAAACATGGCCACTTGCACGGCTGTCCTAGAGGTCACACAAATCCCTACTATGCAAAATTGCCCCTCACCCCCCCAAAAACACGCATTTGTCATTCCCCGCTTAATTTAACAATCGACTGTGTAAAATAACACTGCAGAACTGAGAGAATGAAGGGAAAGAAACAGGCGGCTGAAAGCAGAAAGATCATTGGGAGCGAATAATCTGTCCTCTACTCATCCTCCCGTGGCAGCGTTGGCTCCCCAGTGAGGAATAAAAGCCATCATGTGCAACACACTGCAAACAGAGCTGCAGACAGCCACAGAGGAAGGAATGGCTGAGAGACGCCGAGGATGTGGCACTCCACATCAGACCGCTGGTAGTCTGACTACTACACAAGCAGGGCTGCCGCTCCTCTGCAGTGATTTACACTGAGCTCAAAATGGCGAGTGACGGACCGGGCGATTAATCTGTTTAACTGAAACCAATTGTTCATACACAGTAATAGGACAGGAACTTATCAGGCTGGCTCGAATTACCACGACGGTGGCGTGTGCGTTTAATCTGCTGAGAAGGTTCAATTGGCTATATAAATTTCTGACAAATTCATCATTATCGCTCAAGGGGCCGACTCTATCATCAGGGACAGGTCTCAGAGTGTGGAGAACACAGCATGTTATGACACCGGATGAGGAGTGTAAGAATTTGTGTAGCGGCGAGGAAGTGTTGACGGGAAGAATAGCGCGTCTGATAACATAAATGTCAAAATAAGGAAAATGAAGATCATATGAAATCGCTTAATGAGAGCGGGAAACAGAAAGTTGTGGGCAGGACATTGGAAGGATTGTCCTTTTTGTTTAAAACAGCCACAATACTTCAGTCACAGCTATAAAACATGATTTACTACTTGGTAGTCGGTGTTCAACAGGGCTCAACAGTAAAGATTTTTTCACAGTTGGTTCAGTAGTTCTGATTTTCACTGGCCTAAAGAATATTTACTTATTTTATGTATTTATTTGCCATAACAACATAATTGTCTGGAATATATATATATATATATATATATATATATATACCTTTTTTGTTTTCTTTATAACATTTTTTGTGAAAAAATAACAAAAAAGCTGAATAGAAATTTACTAGAAAATTTCTAATATATTTCTATATTTTCTAGAAATATTAATATTTTTCATGAACTTAAGTTTTCTTTACAAAACATTTTTGTGACAAAAAGATTTACTAGAAAACTAAATAAAAATACTTGAACAATTCTATTAAATGTAATGAAAATACAAATAAATTTATTAGAAAATTTACTAAAAGATTTTTTTTTTTTTACAAAATGAAAATTTCACAGCATAAACGCTAGTTTAATACATAAATGTAACTGGAAAACAGTAGCATACAGTGCAAAACATCTCTCAGTGACATTCATTCTCTCTAGAGAGCATTTAATTCGACCTGAACTGTGTAGTGCAATATGAGTCATCAAAATATTCCTCCATTTTCCTGGAAGAGAGTGACTGTAAATTTTAAATGTGTGTCTCTGCTTCAATCAGTTGTACACCAGACGGCTTTAAAAGTAACAGAAACGCTGCAAAACTCCAATTTTGATTGCATGGGGTTTATGATGCTGTCTCTGCTAGAAGTTAAAGAAATACATTTCTTGTGTTGCATATTTTCAAACTTTCCACAAAACACAATTGTCTGGGAAGCACAGGTCCTCGTATCACTTCATATCACAGCACAGTAGATAACAAGAAAATAAGGAACACTGTATGCTGTGGTTAGAGCTGAGCATTGAACATTACGTGACAAAGAGAGCAATTGAACTGGGCACAAGGAGGAAGAACCGGAAGTCCAGGCACAACCGTGGCTGATCTTCACTATTACCCTCTGACCCTATGTCAAAAACCACTAAGCATGATGGGAAATGGCAAAAAGACGTTCGGGAAAATATGGTACACCTTTATGCGACATCATCATGGATCTGGCTTGATGGACAATCACCATTCTGGCCCACAGGCCTAAACATGGGACCACAAAGCAGAAACACCAGAAGGGGTTTACAAACAAATTATGGCAGACCAAGACTGTATTACTGCAAAATCTGAACACAAACTCAATTTATGCAATGCCAGCACATATGTCAGCAGAACACAAGCAAATGCATTCAAACATTTACACACATGAACACACAGTGAGAACGCCCTGCTCAGGGCATTGGGGGAAGGGTGCATACACGAATATATTGTACACTACATGCACTTAGCCTGTATTTGTGCCAGCTGAGAGCCGGAGGACAGATTTCACAAAGAGACACCAGCGCTGACTGGATGGGGGCCAGGCAATCCCTATCACAATGCATGGAGGGCCTGTGCTGCCCTAATATGTGTTCAGTTCACATCACAGGTATGATTATCATTGGCTTAAACGGTGTGCTATTCAAATAGGACTTAATCCAAACCAACTCTAGGTCTACCAACAATATCCCCTACTGTACTTTCTCTATTTCTCTGGCTAAAACAGCATTAATGTAAATATCCAGTATGCAGCTTCAGGTTGCACTCACAGGCATTGGTCACAGCGAAGCTGTTGGCAGTCTCAATGTTGTCCACGTGGGGTACCAGGTTAAAGGGGGCCTCAGATGCATTAGGGCTTGTGTTGTGAAGAAAAATGGCCAACCGAAAGGCAGTGTACTCCTGATCTGTGTTCCTGATGAACAGCCCGCCTGCAGGAGAGAGAGAGAGTGTAGCGAGAAAGAAAGAAGAGAGGAGGAGAAGTGAAAGAGAGGGGGAAATAACACATTGCACCAAAAACGTCATATAGAAAACTGGCTATTTGATTAAGAAGAAAAAGAGATATGAGTACAAAAAAAACACATGGTTCAAGGATACTGAAATTCAAGTAACATGCCACATCAGATGAGTCAAGTGCACACTTGCACACTCCAGTGAGCTTTCACAGGCGAATAACCCCATTATGCACATATATGACATCTCTCTCTGGAAGATTCAAATAAAGATTGTGTATTAAAAATTGTGTGTAAAAAAGTACAAATAATAATCTAGTAATTAGATAGACTTACCATATACGATTAAAAAACATAGTTTTGGGATTATGTTTTATATAATCATATTTCCATATGTCCATTTTTACTGTATAATAGGCTACTGTATGTGTATGTGTATGTGTATGTGTATGTGCATGTTTTTTGTTTGTTTTTTTGCTGAAAAAGCAAAGTAGAGAAAGAACTGCCATTATTATTCACGGTTAAAATTCATACTACACATTCACCAAGAAAATGCATGTAGTTTACTTAAAAGTATTGCCAAAATTAGGTCTTCAACGCTACAATGACTAATCGATAATGAAAATACTCGTCAAATTTCATTATTGATCTGCGTCTACTTGTCGTGCACGGAGAAACTCTATTAGTGCAGTAACTTTACAAAAATGCATTTTAATGGAAAAATGCATTTAAAAATAAACAATGGTTGAAGCCACAGAGCAAGCAAACTGCTGAGAGGAAAGCGCACGACCGATCTAATGCACAAAGTGCACTTTATATTAAACGATTCCAAGAGGCTCATAAACACAGGTTGATGTGACAGGTGCTTAGGCAGATGCGTGTGTTGTAACTTAAGAGTTGTTTTCCCAGCGAAAAACTAGCCTTTTCTGGTTATATTATTCTCTGTAGATGTCTGTCTGAATATATAGCGCGTATTTCTGGGTGCTGAGACCTGAGAGCAGTGTTGCCAACTGCTTTCAATTGAAAGTAGCTAAAACTCGTAGCTAAATGTCACTAGATGACATCACAATGGCAAATTCACTGATCTATATAAAGATGAACGTAGATCAGTGGACAAGATGAGAATTTAAATAAGGTTTGTCCAAGAAGTTGCTATATTTGTCCCTGAACTTTTGAAAAAAGTCTCAAAAGGGGCGGGGAAGTCACTAAATCTAGCTACAAAGTAGCTAAATTGGCAACACTG